GACCTGCTTTGGGCTTCAAGGGATAGAGAGGAAGCTCACAGTGCAGTGAGCTCAGTGCAAGGCCCTCCCCCAGACTGCAGAATAGGGTAAGGCTGATTATGTCAGAGGCCTGGTAGAGAACACAGGAGCACTGCAGTGGAAGGGGACACCCCTGAGTCCCACCTCTGTAGCATGTGGTCTTATGAGACCTGGCTGTGGAAGCAACCCCTGGGGAACATCTTGCATGTCCTCTCAAAAGGCAGTGGCCAGGAGGTGTCCACAGTAGTAACCATGACCTGGCCAGGTGTCAGCTCTTGCTCAGTCCTCAGCATGCATCGTGCCATTTGATCACACCACCCTCTGGTCCAGGCTCAAGGACCTTGGGCTGTCCTGGGTCACTCCCTGGCCATGCACTTGCTCATGGGCAAGAAGTCTGCAGGGCCAAGGGGTGTAACTCACCCAAAGCCTGCATTCTTCCTTCTCCCGAATGCCCTGCCCAGATAGTTTGCCGTCCAGTGTAATGTCCTCCCAGGGTGGGCCAGGCCACCTGCATGCCACTGAGACCTGAGATGGGCAGCACTGTGGGTGGAGTTTGGATGAATACTCAAGGGTTTCTACACATGAGCACACAAACAAGCAGGTAGAGCCAGAAATGAGAGAGAAGAGGGCAACCACAGAACAGGGCTAAACTGGCTCCCATATGACACCACACTTAAGAGTGGAGCTTCACAGAGACGTCTGGCCTCCCAGGTTATAATAATACTGTTCTTCTGAAGATAGGAGGAAAGAAACCATGATGAGTTTGCTGCCTAAGTCACCATTTTTCAGTATTTAAATATTTGGATGCATGGGTCTTCATTCTCTCCTCTGGCTCCTGCAAATCATCCACCCATGAAGTGAATAACACCCCAGCTCCCCAGTGAGTAAGCTGACACTTGGTGGCAGTCAGCCACTGTCCACAGTCCACAGGGAAGAGACAGTCTCACAGTGGGATCTCCACCAGGAACATCAGCATCATCTGGAAACTTGTTAGAAATGTAGATTCTTGAGTCCCATCCTAAACCTACTGAATCAGAATTCTTGGGACAGGGCCCAGCAATTTGTGTTGTAACAAGCCCTAACAGAACAAGCGCTTCTGATGCAGCTCAAGTGTGAGAACCACTGGGCAAAGGCCCATGTGCTCCCGACCATCTCTCAGGATGCAGATGGATGTGGCTGTGTACCTTTGTCATGTGGACTCTCTCTTTGCCTCTGAGATTTGCTCCATCAGATAACCTTTCTTTCTCTGTTGAGGCCACCCTGCCTCTTGCCATGGGCCTCTCAGCTCTCCTCTGGGTAGTGCAGATGCCATTCTCTGCCCCTTTCCAGCCAAGATTCAGGAAAGCATCATCCTCAGGCCTACACTTCTCACAGCCCCTCACCCAAAACCACAGCATCAGCACACCCTGGTCACCACACCCACCAGCTTCTTGTTTCAGGTGACTGCTCTGTGGCATTTCACAGTGTCCCCTACTCCCTGTGATGAAAAGCCCTTCTGTGGGCCTGTGCCCACCTCATCTGCTTCTCCTCATTTCTCCCTTACCCTGCTCTGCCTCCTTGGCAGCTCATCTTCCTCTCTCTGAATAGTGGGATTCTTCAGGCTCCCAATCTAATTCACTTTTCCTTACTGTCTCCTCTGCACTCTGTCACCCTTGAGTTTTTTTCTCATCCACCTCCAGACCTTCAACCAACACGTCATTTCATCCGGAACTTCCCTGAGCTCCCAACAATCTAGACTTTTCCAGTGAGTTCTCTCATTCTCCTGAAGCCCAATGGAAAAGAGGGTTGTCTCCCACCCTGGAGGAGTGGTTCATTACTGAATCCAATTCTAGAGACTTCAACTGCCAGTGCAGAGGGTGGGGCAGGGGCAGCCATGGCTGCCGCATAACCTACACCTGCAGCCAAAAGAATGCCTGTTTCCTGAAAAATAAGAGAAGTTTGCCTCTAATAAGAAAGAGATTAGGACACAAAGAACAAGATAGAGTTAAAGGGACACTGAGTAACCAGGGATGTTGTTATAGATTCTAGGATGCAGAATCACATGGAAGTGAGAGCAATGAATGTGGCTGATGTGCTCATTGTTGGTCTTAGTTTATTAATTCCTTCAAGGTACTACCAAAAGCTAACACTGAAAGTACACCTCTTACCCTGGGGAGAGACAGGTTACAAAATAACCGTACAGGGGAGGACAAAATAACACACTGGGAAACAGTAACCCATGGGCACAAGGTGTGACAAAGGGATGACAAACCAATCTGACTGGACTCCACCCCCTTTATGTGGGAATGAAGGACATGTGGGGAGCAGTCTCCAAATTTGCTCAGCTCTGTCTCCTCTTCGCCCCTCCTCCGCCTGGTTCCTGAGTCTGGGACAGGAAATAGTCCCAACTTCCAGGTTCCACCTTCTCTGGAAGCACTGTGACTCTCCTATGCCCCATGTTGTGATCATCGTTTACTTCTGTCTCCTGCCCCAGACTGGCACGGAGCCTCCACACCACGGCCAATCTGTGTGCCCAGCACAGGTCAAGTGCCTGAAGAGGTTCAGTAAGCATGAAAAGCCACCCTGTCCTCCACCAGACACACCCAGGAGATTGCATTTCTTCCCTTGACTGATGTCTCATGAAAGAGGTGGGATATGAGTTGGTTCCTGAAGGACAGTAGAATGGGCACATGAATGAACACAATGCTCAGCCGAACTGGATATTGCCCCCGGCTGGCAGCAGCCAGCAAAGCATCTTTCTAGATAGAGCTCCCAGGCGGGGATGAGGAGAGATAGGGGACAGCATTTGGTCCTGGGGCAAGGGAAGAGGAGGGGCCTCGGGTGAGCCAGTTTCACGGGAAGAAAGGGCCAAACGTGCTGGTAGAGCAGAGGAAAACTTCGAGATCTCGGAACTTCGGCCTCTGAACTCCTTTTTCTGCACCACGATCGGTGGCAGCATCTTCTTCCAGCAGAGGCTCGGCCACCAGGCCACGGTTCTCTTCCTGAAGCTCGCGGCGGAAAGAAAGGCGGTGCGGGCTCGGGGTGCGGGTCAAAGGCCCAGGGTCGACCTGGGAGACCGGACAAGTCATGGCCATGTCCTTAAAGCATCGCACGAGACCGCCGCGTCCGCGAGGGATGCTGATCCCACTTTCCGCCGGCCACCCGCACGAGCCTTCACAGCCTATTGGACGCCACAGGCGCGGACCGCCGGGGTCAGAGCAAACGCCAAGTCCCTGCCTGCCGGCCTCCAGCTGCACTACTCCGGGACTTTGGTGCCCGCTGGGGAGGCGGAGCAGCCGTGTGGGCTCCACCAATCAACGGCCAGTGTTCGAATTCGCGTCCTGGCGTAGCCAATCGTGGGCGCCCTGCGTCAGCGGGGCGGTGCAGAGGGCGGGGCCGAGGGCGGGACAGGGGCGGGATCGGTGGCGCCCCCAAGGGCAG